ACTGAGGGGTCGAGCCTGCAACCCGGGCATGTGCCCTGACCAGCAATCAAACCATGGTTCATTGGTCGATGCTCAACTACTGAGCCAGTCCAGCTAGGCTACGCATTATGTCCTTTAATCATCGCAGGAATCCTGTGAGGTATGGAACGATTGTAACAACAGAAATGAGTCACTTGGGGCAAGGTCCTTACGAAATTTGCCCAAGGCCACCCCATAACAACGAACAGAGCCAGTCTTGAAACCATTGGTCACCTCATTCCAGGGTTCTTCCTCTGAGCTTCTGATCAACACCACGGCCCTCGCCCCATCTCAGATAATGAGATATAGTGGGAGAGGCCCGGGGTCTGGAATCTGAAGACTTGCATTAATTATCAGCTTGAGTAGGTCACCCCAGGCCTGTTTCATCATTTCGGATATGAGGATGGGGCTGTTCCTATCTGCCCTGCCTGCTTCCCAAGGCCGCATGACATGCAAGGACTTAGGACCCAGGAATGTGCTTAACACATGCCTGTTGATAGGACTGATTTACAAGCGTAGTCTGCTGACGGATTTGTACCAGAGGAGCTGGTATTTAGGGAGCGTTTTCTGAGTGGCAGTTGAAACTGATGAAATAAAGATGACGGACTGTTCCCACACAGGTAAAATGGATGTTGTCTGAAGAAGGCGGTGGCGGTCCCATCATCCTGCACTCCGGGCTCGGGGAACAGTAATTGGCCCCCGCAGGAAGGGAGGAAGGCAAAGACAAGTACCCCTTTCCGCACACAGTGGGGCATTGGACCCGCAGTGACTACAGATTAAGCAAAGGTAAATCCATGTGAATGACGGGGATTTCCGGAGGGTTACAAAATAGGATCTCATCTAAAAAATATACCAGCATCGCCATATTTTTAAAAATATTTTTTTATTGATTTCACAGAGGTAAGCAGAGGGAGAGAGATGGAAACATCAACGACAAGAGAGAGCGACTGACTCGCTGTATCCTGTACTCCCAGAAGGGGGACCCAGCCATCAACCCCAGCAGGTGCACTGAAGAGGAATCCAACCTTGACCTCCTGGGTCATAAGTCAACACTCACCCACGAGCCACGGTATAATTTTTAAGATACTAGTACAATTTTGCAGCCTTTAGCTTACATTAGCCTAGCATAGCTTAGCATAGTGAGGGGGTATAGACCTTCGAGGACGTAGCATAGAGTAACTGACGTTTGTGAGGGAGATGAGACCGTTATGGACCTAGGCAAGCTTAGTTTCTCATACACTAGAGTGTTTCAGCATAGTGAGAGAAATGCGACATTTGAAGACATAGCTTACTTTAGCCTAGAGGACTATGAGTTAGTAAGGGAAAAAAGACTTTTGAGGACATAATTTTGTTTAGCCTAGAGAGCACAGGATTGTGAGGGAGCACTGAACTTCGATGACCTAGCTTAGCTTAGCGGGAGATAGAGTAGCTGAGGGACCGATGAAGACCTAGCTTAGCTTATATTAGGCTAGAGTAGCTGAGGGACCTTAGAAGACCTACCTTAGCTTAGCTTAGGCTAGAGCAGCTGAGGGACCTTAGAGGACTTAGCTTGCCTTAGCTTAGGATAGAGTAGCTGAGGGTCCTTAGAGGACCTAGCGTAGCTTAGCTCAGGCTAGAGTAGGTGAGGGACCTTAGAGGACGTAGCATAGCTTGCCTTAGCCTAGAGTAGCTGAAGGACCTTAGAGGACCTCGTGTAACTTAGCTTAGGCTAGAGTAGCTGAGGGACCTTAGAGGACCTAGCTTGCCTTAGCTTAGCATAGAGTAGCTGAGGGTCCTTAGAGGACCTAGCGTAGCTTAGCTTAGGCTAGAGTAGCTGAGGGATCTTAGAGGACCTAGTGTAGCTTAGCAGAGGCTAGAGTAGCTGAGGAACCTTAGAGGACGTAGCGTAGCTTAGCTTAGGCTAGAGTAGCTGAGGGACCTTAGAGGACCTAGCATAGGTTAGCTGAGCTTAGTTTAGGCTAGAGTAGCCGAGGGACCTTAGAGGATCTAGCTTAGCTTAGCTTAGCATAGCTTAGGCTAGAGTAGCTGAGGGACCTTAGAGGACCTAGCATAGGTTAGCTGAGCTTAGTTTAGGCTAGAGTAGCCGAGGGACCTTAGAGGATCTAGCTTAGCTTAGCTTAGCATAGCTTAGGCTTGAGTAGCTGAGCGACCTTAGAGGACCTAGCTTAGCATAGCTTAGGCTAGAGTAGCTGAGGGACCTTAGAGGACCTAGCATAGGTTAGCTTAGCTTAGCTTAGGTTAGAGTAGCTTAGGGACATTAGAGGACCTAGCATAGGTTAGCTGAGCTTAGTTTAGGCTAGAGTAGCCGAGGGACCTTAGAGGATCTAGCTTAGCTTAGCTTAGCATAGCTTAGGCTT